GCCATGGGTCAGTGAGGGACGTTGTGTCTCATAGTGGGGCCAGCCATGTGGTCCTCTCTGTGGACTGACTGCTCTGAGCGGGAATATCGTCCTCAAGGCCTGATGGGCCAGGATGTGCGCCACTCTCTTCTCCTCTCCCTTCATCTGCTCCCGTGTGCACTGATCAGACATGTCCCTCTCCCGGAGCTGCAGATTTAGTGCTGTCCTCTGAAATAAATTCTTCTGGGGGGAGGGGCAGGTGTCTACGCAGTTGGGATTGGGGCCAGTCCCTCAGACCTCTCCACTGGTTCCCTATTCCACACTGGCATATTGCATTCACATCTTGGAGCACTGGGTTGAATGAGGCCTGGTCCCTCTTTCCCTGTGGAGATATAAACAATACCCTCCCCTTGGGTGGGTTAGTGCCCTGTGCCCCCACTACCCATTTCTTTTTTTTTGTCGTCCCCCCCCAACTCTCCTTTTTAGTTGGCTGTGTTTATTGAGAATATACCCAGCAGAACTTGTACCCGTTCAGCAGCTTCTGCTTTGTCATGCAGTGACACAGATCCAGTTCAAGCTGTACATCCCTTCCCTGTCTCATTAACCTAATACTCCCTCCCTCGTTTCCCCTCTAACCTCTCGTGAGGCTGGAGTCAATGGGAGTCCACTTAGGGCGGTGGTTCTCAACCTTCCTAATGCCGTGACCCTTTAATACAGTTCCTCATGTGGTGGGGACTCCCAACCATAAAATTATTTTCATTGCTACTTCATAACTAATTTTGCTACTGCTATGAATCGTAATGTAAATCATCTGATATGCAGGATGTATTTTCATTGTTACAAATTGAACATAATTAAAGCATAGTGATTAATTACAAAAACAATATGTAATTGTATATTGTGAAATATTTATTTCTAATGACAAATAAATGAAATTTTGTCTTGAAGTATGGTATAGTATGGGTAACAGTCTTTACACTGGGTACTCATATCTGGGTGTATCTGCATGTGGGCAGACCTGCCTGGAGATGGATAGAGGAGCCGTGTCTCGGTTCCTAAACCCATCGGAAATGTGTTTTCCAATGGTCTTAAGCGACCCTTGTGAAAGGGTTCTTCAACTCCCAAAGGGGTCACGAGTCATGAGACACAGGTTGAGAACCACTGACTTAGGTAGTTCTTAAAAGGGTGGGGTTCCAAAGGCAGCCATTCTGTGCTAATGTAGCTAAACTCTTAATCGCCTTTTGCGAAGGAGTCAGGATATGTGGTCTTGGGGCGCGGGTTCAGGATTACAAGGGTGGGAATTTTGAAACCCTTGTTGTGTTGGGGTTGTTAGCTCCCGCTCCAGAGCTGAAAAGTTGACCTCGCCAACTGGACCAAGGCACGCGGTGTGGTGCTTTTGTGAGTTGACAGGAAGGGGACGGTGGGATTTCCTGCACACTGATTCCCGGCAGTTTCGTTGGTCAGATTGCAAAAGATGCCAAAGAATGTGTTCAAGAGTGTGTGAGTGAGTTCATCAGCTTCATCACGTCCGAGGCGAGCGAGCGGTGCCACCAAGAGAAGCGGAAAACCATCAACGGGGAGGACATTCTCTTTGCCATGTCCACGTTGGGCTTCGACAGCTACGTGGAACCCCTGAAACTGTACCTCCAGAAATTCAGAGAGGTAAGGCCGCCCTCTGGTTCTGCTTTTCATGTCACCTTTTTAAGTGGGTTTGTTACCTGCTCAAAGTTCATTTTAATACTATTGAAGGACAAGGAGGAAAACCTTTAAACCATTCATTGTATCCTCAATTATGGTACAAACTCGAGGAGGAGTAGGTAGTCGTTACCCGACTGGAGGACAGCAGTCTTGTTGTCAGAGCTTTTGGCACACGGAAGCCAGGCGCACTACCTGGAGGCTAAGTCTCAGAGCAAGCACATGGGACCTCTGACCGCAGGCAACGAACTTAAGGACTTTTGCGCCTCAGTTTTCTCAATTGAAAATGAGACTGAGATAGCAGTCGCCTCTCCGTTCTTTGTCTCTGCGAACCTCTGCTGGACAGGAAGCCTAACAACGAGCTAAGCACTCAACAGAAGCTAGCACCTGCTCTCTCAGTTTGCAATCCGTACAAGAGAGCACTGCAAGGTTTGGCACCTGTACGATCATGAAAAGAGGAGATGATATGCAATACCCTTTTCTTCTTGTTGCAGAATTCCCCTAGTTTCCTACTCGATTGATCTTCACCTTGGTCTGAATTTTGTGGAAATAAATTGAGGTCAATTTATTTAATTCCACACTGGGGTCAGATTCACATTGCTTTCAAAATCATTTCTTTAAACAGTATGTTTAACTGCTCCAAAACTCCGAACTCACTGCCAGTGGGTCGATTCTGACTCCCAGGGACCCGACACGACAGACGAGAACTGCCCCTGAGGGCTTCCGAGACGAACTCTTTACTGAAGTGGACAGTCTCACCTTTGTCCTGGGGAGCAGCCAAGGGTCTCGTCCTGCAGGTTGCCAGAAAGCAGCCCAGTGGGTAACCACTAGGTCACCAGCGCTTCTGTGTTTGGTGTTAGGTCCTAACACCCATTGAGAGCCGTGGGGAAGGATAAAAGTAAGAAGAGGATGTGTGAATTCCTCTTGGCATTTTCCCAAAATTTTTGTATGGGACTTGAAGTGAAAACAAAATATTTGAGATTTTTTGATCCAAAAGACACACACACACACCCACACCCCAAGCCCATTGCCAGTGATCCAGTTCTTCACACACACCCAAACCCATTGCCAATGATCCAATTCTACACACACACACACACCCCAAGCCCATTGCCAATGATCCAATTCTTCACACACACCCAAGCCCATTGCCAATGATCCAATTCACACACACACACACACACCAAGCCCATTGCCAATGATCCAATTCTTCACACACACCCAAACCCATTGCCAGTGATCCAATTCTTCACAACCTTTAGGGAAGAGTGGCATTGCCTTACAGGGTTTCCAAGCAACTCTGGGGGGGGAACAGGCTGACTGGTTGGTTGGCACTGCTGACCTTCTGGTTAGTAGCCAAGCACTTGACCATTATATGCCCAAGGGAGCTTCATAAACATAGTGGAAGAATAGAATTAAAAGATGATGGACATTTTCCACAAAAGCCACACCACCCTTACCCCGCTCCCCATAGGTGGCTGAACCACAGCCTTTCTGGGGACCCAAGGCTCTTGCCCATCACGTGAGCCTCCAGCTCCAAGTTGAAAGGTCTTTGCAACCCCTCCGTGCCGGACCTCAGTCCCCTACAGAGGGGCCGGTATGAATAAGGGAAGCATGCCTGGGTCCTTCCAGCTGTCAGGAGTGATGGCGGGGCTGAGGGAACAGCCAGGGTGGACCCCACCACCTCCTGGGCAACACAAGGGACCCAATCTACAGATTCTCAGTGATGGGGGCCTCCAGGCTTAGGAAGCAGAAGGCAACGCAGAGGCCTCCATCCAAGGCAAGGGGGGCAGGAGCTATCAGTATAATTAGCCCACGGTTAGAACCAACACCGCCCTGCCCCCAGCTACATCACCAGGATGTGGCCAGCTTTTAACCCTAGGCCGACGATGCCTTCCCTCCATGCCCCCAGCTGGCGTCTCCCTTACCAAGAGCATTTCCCCACCCAGCTGCCCAAGCACTGTGGCTTGACCTCGAGAGGTTGCCGTAGAACCTGCAATAAGCAGGAGGTTAGTGAAGCTGGATTTCGACGTAACAGGTGTCCAGTGGGCAGCCGCAGCTTTCTCAGAGACCCCCATGGGGCAAGAGGGTCAAACAAATTTGTGTGGAAGTGAGGTATAAGCACAAGGTCAGGGACACAGCTAGGTGCACTCGCTCTGCCCTGTCTGGACCTGGGTGTCCACAGCTCATCATGGTAGTCAGGCAGTGGCCTGGAGACGTATGCATATAATTAACTCTAGACTGTTTTATAACAGATGCCTGACTGGCTAATGCAAAGTGGAATTAAGAGAATGGGATAATTCACGCACATGGCCAGCCGGTTCCATGGCTGCTGCTGCTGCCCCACGAGCTGCAGCACCGAGCGTTTGACATCACACGACGTCCAGACGTGCTCTCATGTACATCTAAGGGCACTTCTCTATTTTTGTTATAGAATTACAGGCCTGTGTATGTCTATTTCAAACCCAACCCACTGCCATTGAGTGGATTCTGGCTCAGAGCCGCCCTAGTTAGGGTTTCCGAAGCTATGAGTCTTTGGACCGAGACAGCCTCATCTTTCTCCCCTGGAGCAGCTGGAAGGTTTGAACTGCCACCGTAGTCCAGCGTTTCCCCAGCAGGACCACCGAGAGACACTGCCATAGGACCAGGTTGGCTCCTAGCAACCTGAGCAGACAGCACAACTGCCCTTCTGGGTTTCCAGGGCTGTCAGTCCTCCCTGAGCAGGACGCTTCATCTTTCCAAATCAACAGATGGTGTATTTGAACGGCTGACCATGCACACAGCAGCCCAGTCATAGCACTACACCCCCAGGTTCCTTCCTTAAATCTATAACAGACTCTAGGTCATTTCATAACAGATGCCTTAATGTCTAATACAAAGGGCTTCATAAAGTAATCCCATTGTCTTTTAATTCCACTTTTTCAAAACTATTGGAAGCCCTCTCACAGATATTAGACACTCTATGTAAAGTAATTATTTATAGGTATGTGAGTCCTCTTTAGGACAGTAAATGCCCTTATAAAATTTGTAGATTTATAAGTGGAATATTTATAGTGTTTCGTAGACTTCTTTATAAGTGGAGTTCTGTCGTCCCTTTGATAGATGTTAGAATACCGTATATACTCACGTATAAGCCGACTGAGTATCAGTGGAGGCACCTTATTTTACCACAAAAACAGCATTAAAAATGTGCTGAAAAACTCGGCTTATGCATGAGTAATTGCCTGTTTTCATCCGGGAGCATTTTCTGTTTCCTAGCACCGGGGCTGGCGCCTGCCCGTTTCTGTCAGCAAGGGATCCTTGGTGGGACTCTGGAGGAAGCGGCTCCCACAAAGAGGTCCAGCCCCGAGAGCTCCCGAGGGCCACTGTCAGGCGGAACTGACCCTGGGCAGAGGGCTTGGTGTTTGAGTTCAGCACAAGTTAGCATTGTGAAGAGCCTCTCAACATGTAAATAATCAGAAATGTTCATTCAAACCCTTTAATGTTCACACTGATAGAAGCTCCCAATTGTAGGCAACACAGAAGCATTCTCATTTGGAGAACTCGTTTCCTCTGATGACCAGTGACGGTTCCCTTGTGTCCCTCCCTCCAGGCGATGAAAGGAGAGAAAGGAATCGGTGGAGCAGTCACAGCTACGGATGGACTGAGTGAGGAGCTCACGGAAGAGGCTTTCAGTAAGTAGCCTTAGAATACATTGACGCAGTTGATCGGTTTCTAGCCGTTGTGCAGACCAAGGTTTAGCACCGGTTACTGCTTGTGGTATGTTGGGCTCTCAGCACTGAGTGTTTGATCACACTCTGTCCAGTAGTTCTTTAGCCCTTTTATTTGAAGCCCGCGAGTGGGAAGCACAGACACTTTAATCCTGCCGACCCACTTCTGCACTGATGGCCCTGACATCCCATAGCCTCTAGTTTTGAGCAAAGATCTGCATGAGATAGGAAGATCAGGAATTGGAGCAGTAATCTACAGACCTTGAGATTGTGTGTAAATTTGAACAGATTTCGTTTTTGAAGATTAAAGACTATGGTGATGTTTTTCATATGAAATATATGTTGTGCTGCCGAACTTGGTTTATAAAAGGGTTGCGCCCAGCAAAGCTGCCTGGTTTGGCTGTAATCCTGAGTCAGCATCCCCAAGCCAGCCTTTCTGCAGAGATACATAAAATGTGGATGTGAAGCTAAAGTACACTTTAGAAGTAAATGCAGGAAGTTGAAGAATGTGATTGGGGAGGTGGTGTATTTGTGGGGGAGCATCCTTAAAAAATGGAAAATTTAGATGTTTGTGATTCTGCCCAGGGTAACATTGAGAAAGTAGCAGGATTGTAAGACCTTTCATGGCCAAGAAAATAGATAAGGTTCCTTTCTCTTAACTTTCTTTTCTTTTTTGCCTTTTAGCTAACCAGTTACCAGCTGGTTTAATAACTGCAGATGGTCAGCAACAAAATGTTATGGTTTACACAACATCCTATCAACAGGTACAGCACCTGCTTTGTATTTTACACTGTTTCCCAAATATATTCTATGTCCCGATTTCTATTTTATTTTTTGCCACCAGCAGTTCATTTCAGTACATTATTATTGCCGAGGACCTGATAACAAAGAGAAGGTAGTCAGTAGTTCTGTATCTCAAAGCATCAGTTCTCTTAATGGTAGAAAGTAATTAGTGTCCATGTGTTTGTGGGAATGATAGTAGAAGGTCCGCCAAACAAAGGTGCTGCCCTCAGTAAAGGGCCTGCCACCGACGGACCGTGGTAGAGACGCTGGTTTTATCGCTCGCTGCGTTTGTTCTTGGAATGCTTATCTACCTGCATGTGGTGCGTCTAAAGCTTCGTTTTCTTTAAATCCCTATGACTTACCACTTCTGCTCGTAGATTTCTGGTGTGCAGCAAATTCAGTTTTCATGATTGGAAAGCACGAGTGGACTGAGGAGTGTGGAGAGGCGAACGAGGCCCTGCGACTCGGGAGCAGAGACGTCGGGAGAAGTGACTGGCCAGAGGTGTCTCTTTGTATATTAAATAGCTGTAATGTAGCTTCCTGATGCTTGACTAATTGAGGTGTTAATTCTGACTCGAGAACCTTTTTCATGAATGATTTTAAAGGAAAAAAATTTGGATTTTAAAGGTATTAAACTATTTTTGTTTTGTACAAGAGTGTGTTGCTCTGTATGACTCCTGTATGCATTGTATATTGCGATTTATTACTGTCAAGAGATTTGTAGACAGTTTCTTATTTTCATATTGAATCATGTTACTTTTGTAATTCAAGCAAGCAGCTGGGTCAATTCATAATGTTTGCCCTTTTAATAAAATGTGAGGGTAGAGTTCATTCTGAATGCAAGTTGCCTTTCTTCTACATTTTGAGTTTGTCTTGGTTATGCGATAGCCTGCATGATAACCTAGCTAGATTTTTTAGCATTTGGTGTATTTATTAAAATGAAAAAAAACCAACTTTTTGTTTTGTTTTATTTTTGGTAAGACGTTCTTAGCTTAAGCAAGCACCCTTTTTAAAAAACAAAAAATTGTTAAGTGAATAAGTGTGAATGTGGAAGCAAATACCCCCGTAACCTTTGTGCCCTTTCAGTGTTGGCACTGTTCCTTGTGCCTGTTGCATAGACTTGGGTACCGGAGCTTTGTGTTAAAGCCAGGTTGGCTTTTGATTTATGCGGTCACGGTGATGGAATTCGCCTGTTTCATGTAGTACCAGTGCTCTTACAATGGTGCCCCCCCCCCTTCGTTTTGTAGATGCTCTTTAACCAAGCGTATCCTCAAATACTATAGTATTTGAATTCCAGAAGAGGACATTCACAGTCTGTCTGACGGTAAAGATCCTCGTTTTATCTTTTCAATGGGGATGCGTTCTACTGCACCACGGGAACCAAGAAGCAGCGGCCGCGTCATGCGTACAGACCTTGCTGCGTGGGTGAACGGATGAAACGAAGAGGGCAGGTGCTGTGGATGTTGTGAAATAGAAGCTGCCAACTTCTGTGCTGTCGTGATCTTTGCAATAAACTCAACTTAGAGAATGTTCCTTTGAATAACTTAGTAGTATGTACTTGTGCTTTGATTTTTTGTAACAGGAGGCTCTATTTTCTCATCAGTTTCTTCTGGTGATAACGGAGGGTCAGCTCTGCTATTGTATCATTTGGGTAATGTCAGCTTTGAAGGCCCTCCTAATTCTAAGGTTGGAGAGGTTTCCAAGATATGAGCTGAAAAGAGACATATATTTTGCTAGAAGGAGCCTTTGGGGGGCATTGTTGGACCAATCGGGTTAATTCTGAAACCTTCAATCCCCATTTAAAATGTTATCTTCATTTAGAGAAAATTCAAAGAGGCAAATTAAAAGCAGGGTGGGATTCAGCAAAACCACCCAGCATCATTACTAGAGGTTGAAATCGCTGATGGAACGCTTGTGGTAAGTAATCATTTGTCCTTTCACTTTGCTAACTATATTTTTTGTAAGAATGGGCTCATCCTGTGCATACTGTTTTTAAAGCCTGCTTTTTTTCACCTAATATATTGTGAACATCTTCCCATTACATAGTAGTCTTCTACCTTATTTTAACTGGCTTTTTATCCTCTTTTCTATCGGACATTTCAGTTGTTTACACTTTACTGATTCTGCATATCCATGACTAGTTTCATAAAACAGATTCTTAAAAAGAGAACTGCTGGCTAACATGCAAATTCTTGAGGCTTTTAATGCTTATGTATGGGTATATTTTCAAAATACATTCCTTTTGATCAGGGCACAGTATGTCACTATATGAGGAGGCTTCATATAGTGGGAAAAATTCCATTTCCCCATGAACTTTTGAAGCCCCTTGTATATAACTGATAAAATCACTTGGCATTTGATTACTAGAACCATCTCTAAAATTAGCTTGAAGATTTGGGCTCTGTTTGAATAAAGGATCAATATAAACAGCTCCATTACATTTAAGAAATATTTAGTGAAAAGAAATTTGACCCATTTAAAAATCTGTCAAGGTATATTTACCAGAACAAATCTCATAATAATTTGCTGGTAGCATTAACAAAGTGGTAGGATAGGTAATTTTGGGGTTATATGACCTTCATATCTCACCAAAAACCAAACCCACTGCCCTTGAGTCAATTCCAATCCTATAGATTTTTAATGGAGCCAACAACCTCATCTTTTCCCCCTGGTGTGCAGCTAACGGATTCGAACCACCAACCTTGTAGTTACCTGAAGGCACCACCAGGGCTCCTAATGACCTTTATGCTCTGACAGAAAAGAAACCTTTGCATTCTGCATGTATCAGGGTCGTAAGTAGTTTCTATACAGAGGAGAGTCAGTGTGGGCATCTTTTATGGCCTATGTTGTACTTAAGTGGAAGTCAACCGCCCTTTCCCCCATCATCTGGACTTAAACCTAAAAATGTTCCACGTCTGTGACTCAGCACTGATGAATCAGAGAAAGGGGCTTGAGTGACTAGGTCGTCGGTGCAGGAGGAGCCAGTACAGAATAGCTTTGGTTTGCCGCCTCAGCCGAGATGCTTAGTTCTGAGGATGCTTATGGTTTCTTTGACTCTGCCTTCTTCCTCAGCGTGAAACCAGCTGCTCAGGCAGAAAGGAAAGAGTGACAGTCGTAGAAAGCCACGGAGTGGGGCCGCTCTGAATGGGAATGACTTCGATGGCATGAGTGAGTGAGTCAGAACTGGCTGCTAACCACAAGGTCAGCAGTTCAAATCCACGAGCTTTCCCTGGGGAGAAAGATGAGCAGAAAGGTGTGCTCCCATGAAGATGTATAGGAAACCCTATATGGAATCTGAGTCAAAATGGACAGTAAATTTGGTTCGTCATATACGATGGTATGTCTTACACGATTTGTAGTTTATTTTCTCTTACAGTATAATATTCAAAAAGTTATTTTCATCAAAAATGTCTTATTTTCTGGTTTGCCTTTGTTAATTAAAGAATTCTACCCCCACCCACTGACGAGTCTATTCTGACTCGTGGTTCTACAGGACAGAATAGAACTACCCCATAGGGTTTTCAAGGCTTTCTCCTGCGGAGTGGCTGGGTAGGTTACGGTTAGCAGTATAGCATTTCGAACACGATGTTTCCAGGGCTCCTCCCAAGGAATCCAAACCCGCTGCAGCCAGACCAGAAACTCACTGCCTTCCAGGCCATTCTGAGTCAGCAACCCTGTCCAGCTGGGTGGAACTGCCTGAGTTTCCTGGAAAACTATGGGAACAGAAAGCTTCGTCTTTCTCCTGAGTGGCTGGTGGTTTTGAACTACTGACCTTGTGGTTAGCAGGCCTAGCCCAGTACTCCACCAGGGCTCCTCCACAGTGACTATAGGGCAGAACACAACTGCTTCCCAGGATTTCCCAGGCTATAAATCTTTATGGAAGCAGACAGCTTCATCTTTCTGTCACAGGCTGGCTGGTAAGGTCGAACCACTGACCTTTCTGTTAGCAGCCCCACATTTAATCCACTGAACTACTAGATATCCTAAGTGAATATCAGTTACCTTTAATACTAACAGCACACTGGGGTCATTCTAACCTGCCCTGTAGGGTCTCTATGAGTCAGCATCAACTCGGTGGCAGTGAATTTATTTTAGGTTAATATTAACTGAATTATAAGGCCCCAGCACGGAAGATAGGGAAAAAGTTTATCATTTGCCAAGAACGAAAATCTTACAAGATAATAGAAAAACACGTATCTTACCTCAGGAAAAGTTAATGGTTATTTTAACCACAATCCCAAACAAGGAAATATTTGCTGTGTTATCTGATAAAATACACCTTTGAAGCCATTCCATTATTCCATTAAAGCTAAGTGGATATGTATAATCTACATACGAAGTTAGTCGTCTTCAATCGGCATTTTTGATCTGCCTGAATTAGATACTATATGTTATCTTGTGTAAATTAATGATTTGTCAAGAATGACCATAAGCTCCAAGTCATACATAGGAGGGAACTTCCAGTGGTTCCTGGGAAAATTCCATTATCTTTCCATTCCGTTTTGTGACAAGCTTTTCTTTCTTTTTTTTTTTTTTTTG